CTAATTTATTATTGACAAGGTCTATTTTCGTACCAATCGCAGATCAGCCAGAGCCTTATTCACCTCACTACACACTCATAACAGGTGGAAGCCAAGTTTGCATACAGACCGACAGCAAGACTGATTATCTGTGTAGAATCACATTGTTCAACCCATCAGAGTGAATGTGTATTTAACACACACACACACACACACAATTACATCTGCATGTTGCACTGACAGCCAGCTTGACAGGTCTTCATTGCTGCTGATTGAGCATGCCATTATATTGATAGCCGAGTATCTGAATGGAACTAGTTTTTATTTGCAACCGACAGTGTTAGGAAGCTGTGTTTAACCCTTGCACTATGCACCTGTTAAATGTGATATTCCTGCACATTCAGACTCTGGATGGTGATGTGCCAGACATGGTTCTCATCTTCCTACTAGGCCCTAGAAGGAAAGTGAGGACCTCAGGATTTTTTTTCAAGGTGGGGAAATTGATTACTGGAGACTTGAGGAAGCAAATGTGAGCCCACGTGTAAGCGTGGGAACTCAACATTTTATGACTGGCCTAAAGCAACCCTGGTTGTGGTGTGCAGTGCAGGGGTTAAGGCTGGTTGTCTATGAAGTGTCAAGATAAAATTGTTGATGTAATCATGTGATCAGTCCGCTGAGGCATCCCTCCTCTCCTCCCCTACCTCCCTCCCTCCCCAAATGAACTCGAGCAACTGATGTGACTGGTAGATTGGAGCAATCTCTGAGATAGCTACAGGAAAGCACCAGGGCTCTACCAGCGATAGACATTTTATTAGTCAATGTACACATTATTTTTTGTGGTAAGGGATACAATTGCTAGTGCATATAATGTTCAGCTTCTATCTGTATTCCCTGAACCCATATACTGTGCACCCATTTAACATGACAACCCCAAGGTGTGTGTAAAGAAAATTATTTCCAAAATTTCTTTCTTCTTGTATTGCTAAAATCCCCTCCCTGATCATGAAAAATAAAATGAAAAAATTCCACTCACATTGGCAGCAAAGAAGTTGGACGATGATGTCACAGAATCATGGGCACTCGTGCAGAAGACTCACGAATCGAGTCACATGGACGATTTAAGACCCCCAAACTGCCACACACACATTGTAACTTTTTATTCATGTTTCTATTGTTTAGTTTCTATTACTTTTTTTTACTTATCTTATGCACATGGAAGTCAGTTATGACTTATACACAATGGAATGTGTGGTTGATACCTGGTTGATGGGGTTCTGGGAGTTCTTCTTCTCCCCAAGCCTGGCCCGAGGCCAGGCTTGACATGTGAGAGTTTGGTAGCTAATAAGTATGATACACATGCCATTAGTGTGTCCACTAAAAAATGTTTGTCACAATATTGTGTCAATAAACACAATATTGTCACAAAAAATTGAGCACTATTTATACTATCACACACTATATATACACTATAGAACACAATCAGTACTTCACGAGTATGTGATAAGCACAAGGCAACTTTGCATTCTGTGCACTGGGTAAAGTATTGATTTTTGCTACTTCTCTCTTTGTGTGCACTTTCAAACAATGCACTCCCATATACTTTTTGCAAGTCTTTCTGTACCTGGTATGTAAAAGCTTGTGTAGTTCATAGTCTTTGCAAGATAATTTGTTGGCAGCAGCACGAGGCATTGTTGGCATGAAAACTTTTGTAGCAACACTACTTTCCTCGCCAAACTTTACAAGTAACTGGGACAACAGAGCAAGATTAAAATTACAGATTAGTAACTTCTTGCCTGATTTCACCAAGTACACGTAAAAACAGTTCAGCACCGTCACATCAACAAGGTGAAAAAACTATTTCTTGGTCCACTTTACTGTTTTTCGTGCATATTCCACGGCGCCAACCACTGTGGAATTGGTGCCACATTTATCCACCAACCTTATTTACTGTACATTGTAGTCCATGACAATTTAGTTTATATAATTTACCTTGTGTTGCAATATTCTGCTTGCCACTGTCTACCATGTCACCAGTCTCAATCATCGTCAACATATTCAATTTGTCTTTCCAATGCACTGATAAAATTGTCACTTTTTCCGAGCTGACAATCACCTACTGAAAATCTGAGCATCTCATTACAACTCCATGTGTCCCCTTTGATAACAGTAGGAGCCATGTTGCTTAACTGGGTGGTCATTTCCTGTGTTAATTAAAGTAAGGCTGCACCATAGGAGACCATTATCATTCAGTTGGACTAACTCTTGTCCCTCTCAATCCAGATTACTTCTTTTATGACTCCACTCAAGATAAAGAAATCCAAAGTATATTAAAATTTAAGTTTTGTTGAATAAACTTTCTATCAAACAATTTCAGTGAGGCCTTACAAAAAGGGTGACTCCCTTTGCAAATCCAATAAAGTCATACTTAAATATTAAATGTGATGAGGACTCCAAGATTCTCCTTGCCAAATTTATGTGAAGATTCTCATGACCAAATAGACCACATTCTCAGGAACACCTGCCTGAAGAAGGCCATCCATAGCGAGGCCCTAACTCGACAAGTTGAACCCAAGAGCATGTGCCGCTGTTCTGACTTCTACATACCCATGGATAACCTCTGAAAGTGGACTGCCATCGGCAACACTGCAGGTGGAGGTGGTTGGAAACTAGCAGAATCCTAAGGCATATGTAATCGTTTGGGTCAATAAACACTGTGCTACATCCAAGTGGACAAAAACAGAATTTGACTCAAAACCAGGAGTTGCTGCCATAATTCAGAGTCAAACAGAAATATGACTGAAAATAGGAACAAGAATCACCTCTCCCAAGATTCTTCCCCTATGGAAGTCATTTGTCATTTCTCAAATGACAAATATCGCCTTTATTCCCCCCCCCCCTCCCTCCTGTTGGGTAAGAAAACAGTCTCCAGAAAAAGATATAACATTTCTTATTGACCACTGTGAAGCCTAGATTAGTAATGGCTGGGTACCAGGCACAAAGTGAGGATTACCAGCTCTACTCACACCGTTGTGGTGATGGGTGCTATCACCTACCAGTTGTCAGGGGTAACCCTTTCATTACTCACTAGTAGTTAGCAGAGCAATAATATTTGTCCTTGTTATAGCTTGAAGGGATGCTCAGAGTTTTGATGTCATTTTTGTACTATTGCAAGTTAATTGCTTAGTATTGTAGTTGCTAAAATTAGTTCTGCCACTTGTTTTCTGTGTCTCATTTCACAGCAAGTGCATTTTCAGAGTTGTGTGTCATAACCGGAGACAAGGTTAACGAGAACTTGGAGGGTTATACGAGTCTAGGGTGAACCATACAAGCTCAGACTCGGGGAGCATTTGAGGGGGCCTTAGCTCGGAAATCATCAAGTGTGTTAGGTGTTATAGCAGTATGATAATTTTATAGCAAATGACAAAATAGAACGGTTCATAGACAGCACTAATAAAGTGACAATTGTATGGTACAATATATAAGCCGAGATGTAAATTTTATCTTGCCAAATGCTGACACACATTGTAGCAACCAGAGACAGCCAAGTAACACATTCTTAATAAGACCAAATATTTTTTTTATTAAATAAGATATTTAACATCACTTCAGAAATAAGATTATTATTTGGCCAAAGAAAGTTACCATTCTGAATAAGATGCAACATCTCATGGATTTTGATGGCAATTTTTTCATACTTAGGCAATTATATTTTCTCCTCTAACATCAAATTTACTGGACTGGTCACAAAAATATAGTTAGTGGTATTAAAATAATATACAAACAATAACACCCTGCCTCTGCATGACTAACATAAATTACCCTTGTGTATTCTTCAATTTCCTGTACTGTCGTCATACTAGTTCCTCTGCAGTGGTTTTTAACTACAGGTACATTATAAATATACCCTGCTAAAGCTTGGTGCTGCTGTAGACATTCTGGTAAGCTTTCAAACTTAAACACTGACTAGGAACAGCAGTAAAAGTATGTAAAATAGTAGCTACTATAACAATACACATTCACACACCAGGTTGGGATAGTTAACATGACAGGTGGTGCATGTCTTTCCTCCATACACATTCACACACCAGGCCGGGATAGTTCACGTGACAGGTGGTGCACATCTTCCCTCCATACACATTCACACACTAGGCCGGGATAGTTCACGTGACAGGTGGCGCACGTCTTCCCTCCATACACATTCACACACCAGGCCGGGATAGGTCACGTGACAGGTGGCGCACATCTTCCCTCCATACACATTCACACACTAGGCCGCGATAGTTCACGTGACAGGTGGAGCACGTCTTCCCTCCATACACATTCACACACTAGGCCGCGATAGTTCACGTGACAGGTGGCGCACGTCTTCCCTCCATACACATTCACACACTAGGCCGCGATAGTTCACGTGACAGGTGGAGCACGTCTTCCCTCCATACACATTCACACACCAGGCCGGGATAGTTCACGTGACAGGTGGCGCACGTCTTCCCTCCATACACATTCATACACCAGGCCGGGATAGTTCACGTGACAGGTGGCGCACGTCTTGCCTCCATACACATTCACACGCCAGGCCGGGATAGTTCACATGACAGGTGGTGCACGTCTTTCCTCCATACACATTCACACGCCAGGCCGGGATAGTTCACATGACAGGTGGCGCACGTCTTCCCTCCATACACATTCACACAGATTCCACAACAAAACCTGGATTTTGATACAAGGCATTAAATATTAGAAACCCATATTTCAATTATTTTAGTAGTGTAATAAGCAGCCATTAAACATTTCTATCTATTATCCAGTGTCTACTGTAATTTTAATATTACATAGCTATAACCTAATAACATAATAATTCAGAAGCAAATTTAATCTTCATCTAATATACATTTTTCTATTCATAACATCAGCAAGAAGAATCTTATATTTTATTAACAACACACACACTCTGAACCAATAAAGCTGCAAGAGTTCAATTAAATAACAATAGAATGTGTAAAAGTGTTGGCATAACATACCTTAACAGACCAAACTCCTGGTCCAAATATGACAGTAATCAAATGAATGATAATCACACCAAATTGCGCTTCGGTCACATCCACATATCCAAATCGAAGTGTGCCTGTAAGAGAAAATGGTTAATGTAGCACTCATCAGTCACAGCCATTCAAAAATAACAATTATAATTATTATTATTATTAAATAATTAATAAATTTTTTATCTCTATACATACTGTACTGTATATACAGTACTAAAAAAACCAGTACAGTATCTATATATACTTCTCCTCAGCAGTTCCATCGAGGTGGCGGCCTTGATAGAAACACATAGTTGAATGTAATGAAATGCCTCTTTCTGGTAGAGCCTCAAGTGGTGCCCAGGTTTCTTGCCAAGATTGCTCCATTCTAAAAGGTTACATTAGTCATGGAATTTCTGCTTGGCCTACTGGGGACCAGAGCCAGAATGTGGTTGTACCCCCTCACAGAGGTGCAGGGAGCGAGTGACAATCACCATCTTCCCGGGAAAGCATCCAGAAAATCTGAAAACTATTCGCACCGAACAAGGGATTCAAACTAGCTCAAAACTGGTTAGCACGACCCCAGCCAGCAACTGGCTCTCCATGACGAACCTGAAGGGAAGGGCTGGAATAGAGAACCCACAAGGGCTCTAACAGAATTGGACATTTCATTACATTTAACACTGGGTTTCTGGGGTAGCCCCCAAGTGGCTTCCTGAAGCTAATCACAGAACACAAACTGGACTTACTAGGGAGGAGAGGTGCCTGGCACTGGGATGCCAAATAGGCAACACACAACCTACAAATTATGTGGAAAGGCACCAAAGAACCCTTACAAAGAAAGATACCTAGTGGTGGTTCTGGACAGAAGACTCACCAGAGAACCACATAAAGGACTTTGTGGGAGAAGCATATGCTACGCTTTCCAACTTCAGAATCACTTGAATATATGGATGGTGAAATATTACAGAAATTGTTCATGACTGTTGTGAGACCAAAGTTGGAATATGCAGTGGTTGTATGGTGCCCATCTCTCAAGAAGCATATGAAAAAACTGGAAGAGGTGCAAAGACATGCTATGAAATGGTTATCGGAACTGAAAACAAGAGCTACGAGGAGAGCCTAGAGGCAATAAATATGCCAAAGCTAGAAGATAGAGATGAAATGAGCACTACATACAAAATAGGAACAGGAATCAACAAAACTGACAAGAGGAATTCTTGAAATCTGACACTTCAAGAATGAGAGGTCAGAGTCTAGCTAAGCAGAGGGACTAAAAAATATTACAGTTCTCTTTTGCCAAGTGGTAGATGGCTGGAATAAGTTAAGTGAGAAGGCGGTGAAAGCCAAAGTCTTCAATAGTTTCAAAGAGTCAAGACAGTACTGGGAAGATGAGACAACAGGGGCATAGCTCTCCTGTAACTACATTTAGGTAATTCACTCATACATAAGAGGAGGATAACAAATATTGTCTTCAAGCAAAAGACCCTCCTCACAATAGCTTCATGGACCCGAGGTCCATGAAGGGATGAAAGGTACCCGCGGGCCCTCATCACGCTCCCAATCAGCCCCAGAAGCATGCCATGAAGGCTAAGGGGCAGAGCCAAAGTCCTCTCCTAGACAGAAAGGCCTCTTCTCAAGGCAATACCTGTAATTCAAAGTTGGGTGGGAGGGGCATTGTGAAGACAAATGCCCCAAAACCTCAACAGGAACATAAGTTTCAACTGCCTCCACTCTTAAGTGGATGGGACCACACCAACAGAAGGCATGCTACATCTTGAGCTAAACCCTGACCCAACTCCGAAACCCTCAGATTTCTTGGAGCTGAAACCAGGGAGGGGGAACCAGAAATGAGGCAAACCACACCAGTCAGGATGGTGGGGAGGGGGAGGCATACCTTACCTTACCTTGAGGTTACCTTGAGGTGCTTCCAGAGCTTAGCGTATCCACGTCCCAGTCATCGACCAGGCCTCCTCATTGCTGGACTGGTCAACCAGGCTGCTGGACATGAGCTGCTCGCAGCCTAACGTATGAATCACAGCCTGGTTGATCGGGAATCCTTCGGAGGTGCTTATCCAGTTCTCTCTTGAACACTGCAAGGGGTCGGCCAGTTATGTCCCTTATGTGTAGTGGAAGCGTGTTGAACAGTCTCGGGCCTCTGATGTTGATAGAGTTCTCTCTCAGAGTACCTGTTGCACCTCTGCTCTTCAACGGGTTTATTCTGCACATCCTGCCATGCCTTCTGGTCTCATGTGGTATTATTTCTTTGTGCAGGTTTGGGACCAGCCCCCTCTACCATTTTCCACGTGTAAATTATTATTTCTCTCTCCCACCTGCGCTCAAGGGAACACAGATTTAGGCTCTTTAGTCGGTCCCAGTAGTTTAGATGTTTTACTGAGTAGATTCAAGCAGTAAAGGATCTCTGCATGCTCTCCAGGTCAGCAATTTCTCCAGCTTTGAAAGGGGCTGTCATTGTGCAGCAGTACTCCACTCTAGAGAGCACTAGCATTTTGAAAAGTATCATCACCGGTATAGCATCTCTAGTGTGAAAGATTCTTGTTATACAACCCATCATTTTTCTTGCAGTTGTGACGGCCACTTTATTGTGTTCTTTAAAGGTAAGGTCTTCCGACATGAGTAAACCCAAATCCTTTACATTGCCATTTCGTTCTATGTTATGATTTGACCGAGTTTTTTTTACATGGTTTCCGTTTTTATATTTTCATTTTTTCTGTAGCGCACGAGCTGGAACTTATCTTCATTAAACACCATATTTCTGTAGCCCATAGAAAGACCCGATTTACATCTGATTGGAGGTTTGCCATGTCCTCTATGTTGCCTACTCTCATGAAAATCCTAGTGTCATCTGCAAAGGATGATACAGTGCTATAGATTGTGTCCTCGTCTATGTCAGATATGAGAATGAGAAAGTACTGGAGCAAGCACAGTACTCTGCTTGGCATGGACTTAGGTATGGCATGGACTTAGTCCATTAAAGGTCACCAACATCTCCAATTCTAGGTCCTAGACATCACTGGAGGCCATTCCCAGAGCATCCACATGATCAATATGCTGCGAAAGCCTAATACGAGCACACTTAGTTTGCAAAATAGCAGCTGTCTGACAAGCTTCTAAACTTTAAGCTGAATCAGTAAGGTCAAAGACCCAGTGAGATCCAACCCCACAGGAGTTGGGGTTACAGGTATCACCGACCCAGCAGGCAGCATGGCAAAGGCAGAAAGAATGATCATCGTCAGGTAGCAAAGATGCTGAACTCTTCAAATTCATATTTGACATATACAGACTAAACAGGTCAATCCATAACAGACCACGCCAGAGACCTGTGAGGGAATTAACTGGGTCTGGAGGCAGTTAATCAAGAAGAAACCCCCTGGCACCAGTGCTGCTTGTAGCCAAAACAACTACGCTATGAATGGTAACTGCACCATGCTGTATAAATAAGCATGCGAGCTCCAACACAACTAAAAAGATTACTCTCACCCAAGGACCCAAAGAGAGGAATCAAAGATTCGTGATTAGCCTAATGCAAAGCCCTCCACTATGGTGGCCAGGCCTCTCAGAGGGGTGAACTCCTGAACACACCAGACAAGACAACTAATGGCAGCATTAGCCAGCACCCAGGGAAGAAAATCATGAGTGCATGCAGCCCAAAATGCAATGGTAGCTAAGCCCACAAAACAAGCCAGAGACAAAATAGTTATGTGAAGCTAACACTAAAATTAGGTAATATACATGCACATGACCCCCCCACAAAATGAACAAACTCCAAGGATGGACAACACTTAGCTTGAAGCAATGGGGATTGCCTGTGACTAGAGAAGTAGAATGCTACAGGCAGAATATTATGCCACCACATCAGCAACAGAACTGGCTAGTCAGGGAAGCCGGCTGCAGGCTTGGGTCGGGACACCTGGTTGTGGTGGTTGGCACTAACGAGTTTTGAGCTAGTTTGAGTGAATTCCTTGTCCTGTGTGAATCATTTTCAGAGTCATTTAACTGTTTTAAAGAATTGTTTTCTGTGAACTCTCCAGTGATCTGTAAAGCTTTGATGATTTCTGGATGCTTTTCCTGTGGGGCAAATTATCACTCACTCCCTGCACCTCTGAGAAGGAAGGGGGGGGGCAGGTTCTAGCTCTGGTCCCCAGTAGGCCAACAGAACTTCTTCAACTGATGTGACCTTTTAGTATGAATTTCAGCAAGACGGCTTCAGGGAGCCACTGGGGGGTTCCCCCAAAAGAGAGGGAGAGTAAGCACAGAAAAAAAAGAAAGAAAATGTGATAGGAAGTAGAGAATGAATGTAAGTCACAACTGGAAGAATATATATTTCTACACTTGACAAAGAGCACAATAGGGACACTAGAAGAGCACCTCGTGCAAGCCAGCAGGGCTAGTGCAAGCCTGCTCAGAGCAAGATGGTAAGCAATAGGCACTGTACCATGTTACGGAGTTCAGCCTGTATTCCCCTATTCCCGCATATAAGTCATATTTCCCTATCTGTACATATCTAGACGTTTAGTTGATATTTATAACACTAAGGGAATCAAGTAGCTGCAGTTAAAAGAAATATTAATTTTAAGTTTAATTGGGGCGAGGCTAGGAGACTACTCCACCTTCATGTGGTGGTACAGCTCGCAAGAGAGGAAAGCTTTCCCATTCCAAGCCAACCCCCAGTGTATGCTGGGTACAGCATCAGGTGTGGCGTGATTGGTCAGCGGTGGGGGCTTGACCAGGTTGACCTGGTGCCCTGCGGAGGAAGGAGGAAAGTCTGACTCGCTTACTACCAAGGGTCCTGCTGAACAGAGGCGCGCTCAAGCGATTACCAATTCTGCAGAGGTATAGGCCCTCCCCACCCCCAGAGAGTGTAAATTCTATCAGCTATAGTGTGCTAATGAAGACGGAGGACTGTCACCTCCCGAGGGAGAATGAGGTAGAGCTGGATGGTGGAAGATGGCACCTAAGGCTCAGTGACAACAGCGGTCCTGGGTAACTTCGAGAGGCAGCGCTGGGGGGTTGCGTGCGACGGTGAAGCTGTGTGGAGAATATTTGGTAGCAGTCCTGGTTCGGGGCAGTTCAACAACCACTTACTAGGAAGAATTCGTGCGACGAAGCTATGTGTGAGGCGGTGGACCAGTACATGGAACTGTATTAATCTGGATAGACCAGGGGACATCAGTTTCCAATTAACATCTAGCGAGGAACACTTCATGGAATGGGTAGTGCCAAGGGAGAAGTATATGCAATAGTCTGGTGAGGACTCCAAGTGAGGAGTCATTCACCTACAAGACGATGTCTCAGCATCGTGGATCAGTGAAGAGCTACGCTGCGTGCCTACGACCTGCTCAGTCTACGATCTATAAGGTACAGTGGAATCTCGAGTAACGAGCGAACCACTCGCAGAAAATTTGTCTCAATTAACGAGCAAACCACATGGTGCTTCCTAGTGTTCCTGCTGGTTCTCGAACGCCTCCAACGACAGTATTGTTGTTTTGCAAGACGAGCATTTCACATGACGAGCTCGGTGCCGGAATGGATTAAATTCGTAATCGAGGCACCACTGTAGTTAAATTGCCACCCCGTTTTCCCCCTTGTGTTAGGAAAAGAATTATACACAAATAAGATGATAATTGGAAATTACATGAGGAGTAACATCAAACAAAGTGCTTCCAGTACTCATCACATCCTACTCAGTATTCAACATTATTCCAATCACTACCTTAGCCTATACTACAACATTTTCATTTCTATTTATCATCACAAAATTATAATCAATGACTTCTTTCCCACTAACAATTTCTTAGATATGTACAGTATATCCGAGTTAACTTTTGCTCAAGTGTGTTAACCAAAATGATGCTCATCACAAAATATTTAATATAAATACTGTACAGTTCATTCATATACAGCATCCAGTTTTTATGCTTGCCACTTCCAACCCTTGAAACATCACCAGCAACCTTTACCTCTTCATGCCTCCAGCACAATGGCTTTCTTCTATCCATAGTCCTGAAGCCTTACTTGATCCCGGGAGCTCCCTATAAGGGACTGACCACAAATTTCTTCTGACGGAGAGCTTCCGGGATGGAGTAAGGCATCAAAGCTACAGGTGGAAAAAATAAAAAAATAATGCTGTAAACAAGAATGGCAAACCCTCTCCTCATCATGCTTATTTTCAAAAGAATTAGGCATGCAAGATGCATAATGTACTCACTTACTTTAACTTGCATCTTACACTAACAAAATTAATAAAATCTACACTCACCCGACACATAGGTTTGCCAGTGTGCACAATAGAACAGGCTAACAGCCATCATGCACTGGAAAAACATCCAATAGGGATGAGTTCCTAGTCGCACAGAACAGCACACGCCAAGAGAGACGAATACTGCAATATAAAGGCATTAATCAAATTCTTCAGATAACGTAACGTCAAATACATTATAAGTAAATGTATTTATTATAAAAATTATTGTACAATACAATTAAAAACTAGTCTCAACTAGAATTTAATTGGAAACGTGATGTGTTTTAACCTCAAGAGGGTAATCTAGATAGATATTCACAAGGCTGGCATATTTCTGAATACAATCAAGGTAATTGTTGGGCCCCTGTAACTGTATTTCCTCGTACAACACACTGATACTTTGGAGGTGCCGAGCTCCACATAAAACCGTACGTATCTAGTACCATGCCCTGTTGTTGAACACCCGTAACAGCACACTAGAACTAAGAAATGCTAGCTATCCTAGATCATCTAAGCACCTACAGTCTGGAGCCATAAGACAAAATTATAAAACTGACTTAATTTTTATAATACTGTACATTATTATTTTGTTATTCACTGAACATATTTAATGTGCGATTCAGTAATACACATGAAGTCATTGGTCAACGAGAAGAAAACAAGTCCTGCACATTTGTGGAAGTAAATCAGATATACAGTATTTAACACCATCACTCCCGACACCATTCTCAGTGTGACTGCCGAATGAATAAAGGAATATTTTGTCTACACTTGTGTAAAAATCATAATGGAGAAGATCTTTAACACATTCTATACATGTGAATATAAAAAAAAAAAATTATTTTAGCCTATAGTTCCAAAACACAAAAGCAAAGCTGGTGTCAGAAACGAGACAACACAGATTCCACAGCAACCCACACTTGGTCACCCATTCACTTATCATAGATTATGTTGCCTCACCACTATAATCCCTCTTTCCAGTGTATACTTATGCTCTTTTACCATACATTATAAAAGAGCAATACAGCAATATTGCTCTTAACAATGCAACATTGCTGTATTGTCTAGAGCATTATACCTATAATGTCACTCCACATTTAGTGAAATGCATGGGCAAGTTCCCGTGAGCACACACACCCACACTAAAATGTGTACAATATACTTTTCAGTTTTCTCATGTCAATTTTCTCGTTACATCGTTCATTTTGGTATCAAATTGTTCAAATTTGGACAATTGAGGCCTAAATGAGATTGAGGCCTGACAAAGATCTCTTCTACATTAACACAAATGATCGGAAAACTGGCAAATGCTTTTCAGCATTGAAAATTCAAGGCCTTACATACGGGGCATAATGAAAATTACAACTACCAAATCAACAACATTACTGTATTTTGCAGCAGATTGATGAAGAAAATGACTTTGGAGTCAGAATTCACCAATCTCTGAAAGTTGTGCAACAAGTGGGAGCTGCAGTAAAAAAAAAATCCAATTAAATTCTAGAATAGTTAAACGAACCATTCACTTCCAAGGAAAATAAGGTAGTCATTCAACTGTATACATCTCTGGTGTAGCCACCCCCCCCCACACTACACATTGTTGTATCCAAGCATGGAAACACCGTCAGAAACAAATCTTCTTTGGAGAGCATTCAACACTGGGTGGCAAAAATCATTCCAGAACTAAGTCAACTCTCATAACCAGGAACAGTTGAGGGCCTCAAGGCTAACACTGCAAACCAGACATGACAGGGATGACTTCATCGAATCTTTTCAAATATCTGAACATCCTGAATAATTTGGAAGATGTTGATTGAAGACAAATAAGGAACAAAGGTTTCAAGCTTTACAAGTCGCAAAATACGACAGAAAACAGAGTTGCTTTTTCACACAACGTTATAAACTCATGGAAATGCCTACCTACCACAGCCATAAATGACAAAACACTGCTACATATCAAAATCCAGCTAAATAAAATCATCAAGACAAATGGGGGGGACTTTTGACAAGCTGCCAGCTTTCTGTCCTCATCGAGACCACTAGACAGTGGCCCTCGGATAAGTACTGTACAGGCAAATATCACCAACGGCTTGCATCATGTCTCAATTGTATCCAAAAATCCTAATATTTTTGATGTTCAGCAAAAGTGCAATGAACATAGAGGTATGAGATAATGACTGGTGCACCAGAGAAGCAGACTCATTACGTTGAACTGCAAGTGACTTGAGCGAGTTCTGTGCAACTCCATCGTTTCTCAGTTTACACTCTCACTTAAAATCCTCACCTCACATGATTCGCCCACATGACACACCTGCCAAGCCACCATACTCACCGTGACTGAGGTCTAGTCACAAACAAATGCCATTGATCCCTCATCTGGCTGACACTAAACAAAGATGGAGCAGTGACTAATGTTATGTCTAAGAAGTAATCAGTTAGCTGTTATTAATATCATTTGGCTTGTGAGAATTAGCATACAAATCATTAAGAGGATGGATTAAATTCTATTACGTAGTTATTTTTTGTAACGTGCAAATTTACCGTCAGATCTATTTAGGTTGCTTTTATGTAACTCTTGCCTTAATATAATGTTTAAGTTAGTTCATTTAAATAACAAAAGCACATACATTGCATAATCAAGTTGCTGGATATGGTTTTTCTGGCAACATTACAGGAGCTGAGATCTCCCATCATGGTTTTTCAGTTGCATTTTAAATCCGAGATGGACAGACGTGATGTGGGTTGCTCTGCATACCATCACCTTCAGTATTATTATTCTGTACAGATAACTTAGTCCACACAGGTTATTATTAGTCTGAGTGCATACAGTGTACTTTAATCTATTGAACAAGTCCTCACCTGTAGAGAGCGAGTCACAGCCGTGATCGAAGAGCTCTCCTAGCGGTGAAGATGTTCCTGTGCGTCGTGCCTGCTTCCCATCAATTGCATCAAGGCTTTGGTAGATGAATAGCCCCAGGGCACAAAGAAAACATGCCCAACGAGGCACCTGCCAAATTAAAATATTTGTAATTAATTAACATTGTCGTTTATTATACAGTATCAATGTAACACTGTAAAAGTGTTTGGGTTAGTTTATTTAAAATATATATAGAATATGAGTCACAGACAGGGATTTGGAAAGGCGCCAAGTTGTCGGCGGAGATCTCACACCTCTAACCGTTAATGACCCCAAGTGACCTGAGGTCAGATCATGAGAATTTCACCTTGCTTCCGCTAAGCGTATAATTGGAGCCGGGTAGCCTTCAAACATGCCGACGTTTAAGGAGTGGCTTGGTAGAGTGCCGGAGGCTATCTATTTGTGGGCGGAGTTAGCTACTAGGTTCCCCAATAAATACTCGGAGAACTATCGAGCAAAAGCATTAAGAGACAGAACAGCAGACGAGAGCAGAGACGACGTCCCTAGCAGGGAGGCTGTCGGCCGGCAGGGGCGAGACAGTCTCTGTCAAGCTACAGACCCCCCCCCCCTCTCTATTCAACTTAGACTCAGTCCTCGGTGAGTGAACATTAAGGTGACTTGGTCGTGTTTTACAAGTGTTGTGTGATGATCAGGGGCAGTCAAGTTGTAGGGTTCTCAGATTCTTGGAGGATGACTCACTTTGAATATTAATCGTTAACATTTTAATTGGATTGCTTAAGTTATGATACTTATCATGAAAAATATAATTGTTGAATTTATTATTTAAATGGTCTTTCACTGTGTTCCCTAGAGAATTGAGTTGAGGTGAGAAAGCCTCTGTGGTTACTGGTTTCATGGTTTAGAATGAGTACATGATAAAGATGGGAACTACTAATAATGAACTCATGATAACATCTTTGGTGAATATTGTGATACAGACAAGTTCCATTCCTTGTCTTGTATGTAATGATCATGAATGGATGGTGGCAGCATTTCGTCTCCTATCTACTTTCTACTTCTACTAGCTACTCTTCTACTTCTACCTATCTACACCTCTCCCTCCACCCCTCTCTAAACTCTCACTTTCAACTAATGACCCTCCTCGCTCCTCCCACCTCTCTACCTCTCACCCCAAACCCTCACTAATTACTTCACTTTTCATTTCTTTCCTTTCGTTTCCTCTTATACGTTTGTGGCAAAGATTCTGTATTCTAGAGTTCTCTCTAGAGTTTCGGGTAACTGATCCAGTTACGACGCCTTGTAGTCTTAGCACCTAGGTAGTCAAATACCTAGGTTACAGGTGTTGAACGAGAGAGGTTGCCTTAGAACTCTGGGAGTGCTCTAGAATAGTTAGCTAACTGGGGACGGGATAACGGACTAGAGAGAGCTGTTTCCCCCCGCCTCGTTAGTTAACTGGGGGTGGAATAATGGACAAGATAGAGCTATTTTCCCCCACCTCTCGTTACATCAATATTGCAGTCACCTTCCAAGTTTGCTACAAAGACTGTTTGATCAGCAATTCTAATAGTCAGCTAGGAATAATTTTCAATGACTGGCTTTTTTTTTTTTTTTCAAAAACTGATATGTTCCTCAGAATCTTGGTTAAAAAAAAATTATTAGAAGTTAGAGTTCCTGTCTTCCACTCCGTGGTTGCGAGTTTGAGGCTCCAATGGTGCATGCAAATAATTATTATTATTATTATTAATATATATATATATATATATATATATATATATATATATATTATATATATATATATATATATATATATATATATATATATATATATATATATATATATATATATATATATATATATATATATATATATATATATATATATATATATATATATATATATATATATATATATATATATATATATATATATATATATATATATATATATATATATATATATATATATATATATATATATATATATATATATATATATATATATATATATATATATATATATATATATATATATATATATATATATATATATATATATATATATATATATATATATATATATATATATATATATATATATATATATATATATATATATATATATATATATATATATATATATATATATATATATATATATATATATATATATATTATATATATATATATATATATATATATATATATATATATATATATACAGAGCACCACTTGGTTTCCGAACTTTAGTTATCCGAAACTTCCAGTTTCCCGATTGGGGTTGGGGAGTCATGCTACCCGAACAAAGTTCGGGTAGGAAGGGGTCCGCCAAGCGTCACGCCGGCTTGTGGTGGTGGGTGGGAGATGGTCCAGGGTGCCCACTGTGACTTCACAGATTCACGGCCTATTATTCCTATTACAGTATTTTGAATTGCCATAAGGCTGGAATGTTCATTCTGTGCTTTTGTTTTACATATCTGCACAATCAAGAAACATCTGTGCACCATGTTGGCTCCAAATGGACACATTGCGTCAGTGATGGCTGACTGGTGGGTGGATGGAGCTTAGGTGGGAGGCAGTATGAGAGGGGGGGGGAGAATCAGTGAGAGAGGGGGATAATTAGTCAGAAAGGGAGGGAGAGAGAGATGCTAGGATGGAGGGGGAGGTAGGGAGAGATGTTAGGAGGGAGGGGAGGTAGGGAGAGATGCTAGAGGGAGGGGGAGGTAGGGAGAGATGCTAAGAGGGAGGGGGAGGTAGGGAGAGATGCTAAGAGGGAGGGGGAGGTAGGGAGAGATGTTAGGAGGTAGGGAGAGATGCTAAGAGGGAGGGGGAGGTAGGGAGAGATGTTAGGAGGTAGGGAGAGATGCTAAGAGGGAGGGGGAGGTAGGGAGAGATGTTAGGAGGTAGGGAGAGATGCTAAGAGGGAGGGGGAGGTAGGGAGAGATGCTAAGAGGGAGGGGGAGGTAGGGAGAGATGTTAGGAGGTAGGGAGAGATGCTAAGAGGGAGGGGGAGGTAGGGAGAGATGTTAGGAGGTAGGGAGAGATGCTAGGATGGAGGGGGAGGTAGGGAGAGATGTTAGGAGGTAGGGAGAGATGCTAAGAGGGAGGGGGAGGTAGGGAGAGATGCTAAGAGGGAGGGGGAGGTAGGGAGAGATGCTAAGAGGGAGGGGAGGTAGGGAGAGATGCTAGGAGGGAGGGAGGGATGGTAGGGAGAGATGTAGGGAGGAGGTAGGAGGGGAGAGATGCTAAGAGGGAGGGGGAGGTAGGGAGAGATGTTAGAGGTAGGGAGAGATGCTAAGAGGGAGGGGGAGGTAGGGAGAGATGCTAGGAGGTAGGCAGGAAGGGACGGAAGTAGTGAGAATTAGGGAGGGAAAGGCAAGCTGGCAGGCACAGGCTGGCAGGCACAGGCTGGCAGGCACAGGCAGACAGGCACAGGCAGACAGGCAGGCAGGCAGGCTGGGAAGGAGGCAGGCAGGCAGGCTCGGGTAAGGAAGCGGTCAGCCAAGCGTCGTGCCGGCCCGTGGTGGGTGGGTGGGGGGGGTGGGTGATGGTTTAGTTTGCTCACTGACCGTGTCGGGCGCCGCCGCCTACCCTGTGACGTCACAGACTCACGGCCTATTGTTCCCATTGTTTGAATTTGTCACGAGACTGGAGTGTTCATTCCGTGACTTTGTTTTACATATCAGCACAATCAAGGAACATCCGTGCACCATGTCGGCTCCAAATGCACGCATTGTGTCAGTGAAAGCATCTACAAGCGGGTTACGTAAAAGAAAGAGGTCAGTGATGACATTTGAAAAGAAAGTTGAAATAATTAAGAAGGTGGAAAGCGGTGTCCCGAGAAGTGTCGTGTGCGCTGAGTATGGCATTAGTAAAAGTACTGTTTTTGATCTTCTTAAGGCTAAACCTATCATTTTTGACTATTTCTCTAGAAGTGAAAGTGATAAAGCAATACGAAATAGAAAGGTAGTAAGTAAAGCAAAAGTGGAGAGTGTTGATAACGCAGTGTGGGAGTGGTACAGACAGAGACGTGAGGTGACGAAGAAGCCAGTGGCAGGCTGGCTCCTCGTGGAAAAGGCGCGTGAATTTCACCAAGCAATGAAAATTACTCAAAAGTGTGTATACAGTGATGGTTGGCTCAGAAGTTTTAAAACCCGTCATGGCATTAGGTTTATTAAAGTGCATGGTGAAAGACAATCTGCTGATATTGTTGGTGCTGATGAGTATGTGAGTAAATTTGCGGAGATGGTGCAGGAACAAAATTTATCTCCAGAGCAAATTTATAATGCTGATGAGACAGGTTTGTACTGGCGTATGCTTCCCACAGAAACGATGGCTCATAGTGGTGAGGACGATCCTTCAGGTGGTTATAAACAGAACAAACAGAGAATTTCTTTGTTGTGCTGTGCAAATGCAGCTGGCACGCACAAATTAAAGTTACTTGTGATTGGAATTAGTAAAAACCCCAGGGCTTTAAAGTCAGCCAGGTGCCTCCCTGTGATTTATAAGGACCAGCCAAGTGCGTGGATGTCTCGAGTAATATTTGTCGAGTGGTTTAATAAGAACTTTGTACCCGAGGTGAAGGAGCACCTGAAAAGTGTTGGTCTCCCGCAAAACAGCAAAGTTGTGCTGCTGCTAGATAACAGTTCAACGCATCCACGAGGTGATGAGCTTATAAATGGCAATATTATTGGAACGTTCTTGCCACCCAATACAACCTCAGTGATCCAACCCATGGATCAAGGAATAATTAAGAACCTTAAACACCACTACAAGAGGATGTTTGCCAGACGTCTTAACAATCAGCTTGGAACACTTAAGGACTTTTATAAAGTCTTCACAATAAAGTCAGCTATCTGGACTATTGCTAGTGCGTGGGATGAGGTAAAGCAGACAACACTAAGAAATGGTTGGAAAAAACTTTGGCCCGCGTCAAGTCTGTTTCCTGAGGAAGATGACGAGGCAGATTTTGAAGGATTTGCGGTGAAGAAAGTTAGCGAGAAGAAAAAATTAAGAGAGGAACTCCTAGCCTATGTCAAGGGGATTAAGTCCCCTGAGATTAGAGCAGAACTGGTGACTGAAACAATCGAAGATGACATAGATAGATGGATAGATTTTGATGAAGCAGCCCC